AATTTACCCCTGCAAATGCTAAAGGTTTACTTTTTGGCATTTTTTATTGCATGTAATAGAGCAACTGTGGCAAAGTTTGACTAACTCAACTTCAAACCTCACTCAACTGTTAATGTTATTGGATTATCTTGGGAGAGTCATTCTCAGCTTTTTCAGTCTGCTCAAGATGAGGAGGTTTTTGTCTTGTAGGAACTCTTTGTTTTTTACCATGATTATATGTAGTGAGTCACTACTTCAAGAAGCAGATGCTGAAGAACTGGGAGCTGCACTGAGGTATTGGAGGTCTAAGTTGTGACTACCTCTGCACTTCCTAAGTTAGCTGCTATCCTCAAATACTGTAGAGGACATATCAGCATTAAAGACAATTCTGCAGCCATTTATTGGCTTCTAAACTTGTAATGGATGGGGAACATCTTGTTTGTTTCAGGTATCAGAATAAGCAATAGCATTCACTCAGTTTAATTACTAGTAACTATTATTCAGTGACATGTTGTCTCTCCTGGAGATATAGTCAACTAGAACCACTAAACAGCTTTATCCTCCATAAATTTGTCTAATCCCTTTCAAAGACCATCTATCTTAAGTATTTGCTGCATCTTGTGTTAGAAAATTCTACAGATTAATGATGCACTATGCCAAGAATTGGTTCCTTTTGTCCTGAATCTCCCATCATTCAGTTATCTTCCATGACTTTAGTAACATTGAGAAAAATGTTGTATCATCCATTTTCTCAAGATGCATGCTTTCACTTCTAATTATAACTGTACTGTATATGCCATTATCATGTCCTCTCACCCATATTAAAAGGCTGTATTCTGCAGCCAGCTAGCTCCACATCTGGGACTTGCAAAGCTCTTCCAGATCTGCAGATCTTAACAAGCCAATTTTGCCCTTAAAACTTACAATCCCCCAATAATACAAAAAAGACCCCCAAGTGCCAGCCTTTCACTGGCATAACCATATCATCATACTCCTGTAATTTTAAGCTCCAAAATTACAGAAAAGATTAAAGTGTGGCCCCTGACCATAAAGAAAGCTGATACCCACCTACCATTTTGGAAATATGGCTAGAACAACTACATAAATTCAAGTGTAGTTCCATCATTTATTTCTATTTAATTTTATTTCTTTCCAAATACTCTCTAGAGCTGAATATCCTTTTCACAGAACACTAGGTTCATGTTTTAATTAATCTTTCTACCATGTCCCCAAGATCCATTTCATTTCTGTCATCACCAATTAAGACCATTAGTATGAAAACTGATGTACGTATTTAATTTACTATCAGTATGGTTTCTGTTTCAGTTGGTTCAACCATATTTATATTTGGGTTCCACTTTGGATAGTCTTGTAGTACGTTCTGTCCAGTTAGTTCCATGAAGAACTTACTAGGTGAAAATCATATAGGATATCTTGCAACATTCTTTGTTGTGAGCTGAATATGTCTACCCAACCATGCGGATAATGTTTGCTGATTATTACCAGCACTTTCTCCTTTCCCTGAGTTCATTCCTCATCCCAAGATTACACTGAGCATTTGGGCAAGTGGAAGGTTATAATACATTCCCAGTGCTAAATTACATTTGGGGTGTAACATACTGCTACTCCAACAATTCTATGGAAATACCTCTGCCTTTGAAGATTGTTATTCTGTGTGCTCTCCAGAGCTCAGAGGAACACTATCTCTAATATCTTATTTTGACTTTTTATTTGACTTTTCCCTTGTATACCCTTCTTTGTATACATAAATTCCAGTTGTCACCATGAGTCCATTTACGAAAGAAACTCTATATAAAACAACCCATATTTTTTTATTTTACTTTTACTAAATTGGATCTACAGCCACCAATAAATCAAATATTTTACTGAGAAAATGCAACATAAACATTAGATCAGAAAGACATGTTTTTTTTTTTTACCACAAATGTGTGCTCATCTAGAAATCTCTTTATTTTTTATTCTGAAATCTTGATGTTTATAATATTTTGGAAACTGACTTCAAGACTACACTAGGAGGCTTTGCTGACATTTGGGGTTAAATGTTTCAAGGTCAGCTGTGGATCCTTCCTTCACTGTGGGTACATGGAGCCTCTGTTGGTGATATCACACTTTTTATCCTATGGAATTTCCAACATCCATAGTGAGATGTGGTAAGCCCTTCTATGATATTTGTTTTAACCTGAGGTCTGATTTTTATATATTCAACAACATGGCACCAATTCTTTATCATTTCCCCATTAGGTCCATTGTTTCCCATTAAACCCCATTGGGTATAATTTATCCATTTATTAACTTTGTAAACAAGTGGTTAGTGACTGTGGGCAAAAAGTGCAACACCAATCAATAATGCAATAAAGGACACAACACTTTTAGTGAGCTTTAAAATGTTATGAGTTTCACAATATATCACACACAGAACATTTCAGCTCAGGTCTATGATGATAGAATTAGCAAGTAATTAAGAAAACAAACTAAAAACAGTTGACTAGCTATTTAACTTGATAGGTATCAGTTTATGTGGATGATAAAATGAGCCTCCTGAACATATCAATAAGTTTGGATGATAAACCTAAAGTGGAGATTTAAGAAAACTCATTACTGATTCAAGACACAATAACAATGTCAGAGATGGCTACAACTAAACACAGCTGAGAAAGTTATAACCATATACATGCTGAATGTTCACTCAGTTGGTGACAATTTTCATTTGAAACAGTGTGATGGCTGTTTTGAGAACACTGTTAATGTTTCACTTCCTTGTCTCCATTCTACTAGAACTGCAAGAACTAGCAGTTATCAAACAATTTTGGCTTTACTAGATCTTCAAGCAAAAATTTGAAATGTTTTGTGTTACAAAACTACAGAGAAAATTTCTCAAAATATACTTGGTCAGACCATTGAGTGATATGAACATGATCACGTGCTGCTGTCTTCAAGCAGGAAATATTCTAACTGGATGGAAAGAAATTCTGCTCTCAGGCCTGTGGTATTTTTCTTAAATGGATATTAAACTCTCAAATATAAATATCTGCAAGAATGTTTCCAATAAATAACTTACAATGCAGCCATAGCTCTTCAAACAACATTAACTTACATCTAGGCATTTATATTTATATTTAGAAATGCATCTTAGTCATCTGATAAAGATTCCTAATTTTGGAATGCACAGAAGTTTAACTTTTATTCAGCGACTGAGTAGAATATTTTTATATTGTTCATTAGTTGCCAGGGAAAATTGTTACTCTTTGTTTCATGTCTATACAGTAGTACTGCTCTTCCCAATAATTCGAAAAAGTACAGGCTAAATGTTCATTTGCATGCAAGTTTCCTCATTTCTTACATAACCTGTGATAATACCATTTTCCCCTTGTGTAAGGAGGAAACTTCCCCTTATTATAAAAGGGTTGTTTATTCACCCACTTCTTCATTTTCTCCTAATTCAATGAGTTTAATAAACAATTATGATTATGATTATATTTTCTCTTAATTCACAAACTATTATTCTTATAATTTGGACTATCAACACTTCCTTCCAGGGTTTTTCACAAGCTTTGCTGCATGTTGTACATTTGCCAAAATTATTTAAATAGGTAGGGTCAGGCATGGAGTTATGTCTTCTGTACATCTCCAAAAGGCACTCCTGACTTCACAGTGCAGAATTGAGGCCTGCCATTTAAAGCCAGTCCCCATGAATTTTGATTCTTCCTTCCTTAAAAAAAAAAATCAATCAATAACTAATCTGAAGTTCCCAGGAGAACCTGATTTCTCCTCTAAAAGTGTCGAGGGCGGTCTGTGTGTTCGTCTTTCTGCGCCCAATCTTTCACTCCCTTTCGCTTTCCCTCCAATTTTGCCCGCGCAGTGGTTGTCTACGGAGGGAGTCCCAGTCGCGCAGAGGAAGAGAAACGGGCGCGCGCGCACATGCAAAGCACGGGGAGATTAATATCTAGGAGGCGCGGGCTTTGGAGCAGGGGAAAGCGGCGGGCGTGGGGCCCTGCTGTAAAGCCAGTCTCAGCCCAGCGGTCGCTCCGGATTCTTATCTGCAGGCTTGTGGCCGGGTCGAGAGCCTTTTGCTCCGCTTGGTTGCCACGTAGGTCGCGCCTACCATCCTTAGGCATTCCAGGGGGTGGAGACGGCTTAACTTTTACTTGGCATTCCCGGGGTGTTGTCCGTTTCGCGGGTTCCAGTCCCTGCAGATTGGGCTCGCTTTCCAGTTGAACTTTGTTACGGGAGGCTGCGCCAGCCACAGGGAAGGACGGAGGGACAGGGCTCCGGGGAGTGGGCATTAATATAGATGCCCAGGGTTGTCCGGATTTGAGACCCCCGCATAATCATCATTCCGGGCAAGCAGCAGAAAGAAGAGAACTGACCGCCAAGACGAGCGTCCAGAACCGAGCGGCGACTAAACGCCACCGCGGCAGTAGGAGCATCACACACGCGGGCTGCAAGAGTCTTGAGGATCGGAGAGGCGGGGAGGCACGCGTGAAATAACAGTCCTCCCTCCCCTCAGCGCAGAGAAACCATGTGAGCCCGTCGCGGCTTAACTCCTTTTTTTTTTAAGGGGGGAATTAAAACAAAGACCCGTAAGAGGTAGACTAACGTGCGGCGGAAAGTCTTGACGCTTGCTTCTGTTGGACACCTGACGGGTTGGGAGATGGAGGTGCAAGGAGTTTCTCCGTGCCCGTCGGAGC